GGGAAGCACTAAGATGCTCACTAATTAAAAATGAATCATCCCAGGGCAGGTTTCAGAACCTGGTGCACATACTGGTCTAAACTTGGAGCAAGGCTATTTTGAGCAACAGTGGCTAAAAGTTAATGCCTGATAGGATTTGGATAATGACCTTTCTAATATTATTGTGATCTTTTAATTATTTTCCGAGAAAGAATAAGACACCAAGGGAAAAAGGACTTCTATTTTTAATGGCCTATATCCTGAAAGCATACCAGTAAATATAGAAAAGAAAATGTTCCTCTATTGAAGTACTAATGAATGTTTTTCTTGATTTGATGCTGCTTTGGAAGACTATAAATATAATAAAAGGGCCTTATTATTAATGGCTTATATTCAGATTGCCTTAGCAAATGTCTCAGGTCTTCCCAGCATAGAATTATAAAGAATATGCTTTTGCTTTTTCACCCCATTCACACTTGCAGCCCACTGTAGCTCTTCCCAATATCCTCCCCAGTTATTTCTGGAGTTTCTGCTCTTTCAATGTGCCATAGAATCTAGGCATAGGCTAGGCTTTGAAAGATACATTGAAGTATGGTCATAAGAAGTACCTTAAGATCAATTTATGACTCTAGGTAGGTCTCTTTGAAATGATTGATTCCATTATAAATACCAATGTGGTTTTGTATGTTCACCATTTATACAAGCATTACTGTACTATAAATATCAATGATCTTTAGTCATGTCATTCATTTCTATATTTTGCAGAAAAACCATGTTGCTGATATTCATAATATCATGAACAACTCCACCACATTTTACAAGTGATGAACATTTGAGTTGCCTGCACACCCCACTCTTCCTATGGATACAATGAACCTCCTTTCCAATAAACCTATGGACTCTACTTAGAACTTTCCAGGGTATGTGCCCAGGAGGATGATTATTAGGTTTAGAGCATTCTTAATTAATTACATTACCTACTCATAGGATCATGGAAGGATGAACAAAAGTTTCCTAGAATAAAGAGTGCAGGGTAAGTTATTGACTGGGAAAACATTGACAGGAACAAAAGGAACAGTGCTACTGCATGGTGGGATCTTGGCTTGTACTTCATCAGGGCCAGGAGAGAGATGAGCCTGGGATGTGGTGATGGGAAACCAGATTTTGAAAGGCCTCCTATATTCCTGTAATCAGCTTAGAGAAGGGATTTGGGTACTGGTTTATATTGAGTTTTAAGCAAGACAGAGTTATTGTGAGATTTGCATATTAGATGTAATACGTGTGTGTTCTGCCCGCTTGTCACCCTGACAAAAACATGACCTCAAACTCCAGCGGCTCACACACTATAAGGGAGCGTGTCCTTTCCTAAAGAGAGATCAATACGTTCTCTCAATGTTCGCCACACCCATACTGTGCCTGGACAAATGCTGAGCAGGGCCAGTGTGGATGGGAATGCTTAGCTCTCTAGTCCTGCTTGCTGAGATTTGGTTTCAGGAGAGGTATCATGCCTCAGAGGGCGTGAGTGGGGAAAGGTGTTTGCAAAAGGAATCAGGAAAGCAGTTCAGGAGAGGCCAGCCATTTGTGCTTAGTTCTTATAGTCCAAGAAATGGTAATGGAGTCATCAGCAGTGTGTGGTGGGGCTGTGAGGCAGACATTAGACCCAGAGGGCTTTAAAACCAAAAACACTGCTATATGGGAAGAGGGCTATCTAAATCCTATGTGCACTCACTAGGGAAAAGGTATGTAATTCCAAAGAATTTCAAAGGTTATGAAATTCTGCTTCCTGTCTTTCAGCTGTCCTTGCTCAGGATCCTTAGTTGCTGACTTCACTTCTGGCAACAATACAAAAGCTAAGGGGATGAAAAGACAAAGACATCATGGGCCAGGTTCTCAGGGCATTGGGTTTTGTATCTTTTTCTGGTAATGTAAGTAGAGATGTCTGCTTTTGGGAATACTGCCTTCTAAGGCACAGTGTCCTCTGGTGGTTCTCTCTCTCTCTCTCTCTCTCTCTCTCTCTCTCTCTCTCTCTCTCTCTCTCTCCCTCCCTCCCTCTCTCCCTCTCCCTCTCCCTCTCCCTCTCCATCTCTCTCTCTCCATGTCATCCTTCTTAGAGGACTCTTTCCAACGTCAATCTCTGGGACAATACTTTGTAAATATTCCTTCCTGAGATCTTTAGAATGGGAACTGTCTACGCGGTGTACCCAGCTGCCCTCAGCTCTTTTTATTTAGATGTCTCCCTTGGGCTACTCTTCAAGCTCAGTATGGCTCACATCCTTTCCCCACACTTCCACACTTCTCTACAGCAGCATTCCTTTCTAAGTTTTCAACTGCTCTCCTGGAACCACGAGTTTCCTTGTTCCAACCTTGGAGTTACATAACTAACAGATGCCTCTCCACCGCTTCCAATTCAGCAGCCAACAAATCCTGGGGATTCTTTTTCAGAATCAAGATCTGGGTTCTTTCTTTTTTCACAGCTGCCACCAATGCTAAGACCTGAGATTCTTTTCTGTACCAGTAGTGATGCCTCCTAAATGACTGATCATCACCAAGGTTTCTCTACCAGGCATCCAGTCTACTCCTCAGATCCCTGTTATTGGTAATTTGATGCTATTACTCTAATAAACAGCACAGAGTGGTTCGTAAAATAATGAATCCGAAGTTTGAGTACAAAGTTGATTTTTTAACTGTTTTTTTATCTTTATTGTATTTGAATTATAGAATAAATAGGACCATACTTTCATATCTATAGGGATTATTCTAGGATCCCCCTTGAATACAGAATTGCTCAGATTTCAGATCCATGAGGTAAGATATTATTACATTTGCATGTAAACTACCCACATTCTTCCTTATACTTTAAATTATCTCTAGATTACTTATAACACCAAGTACAATATAAATGTTATGTGAAAAGTTGCCGTATTGTTTAGGAAAAATGATGACCACAACTCTTTGTGCTCATTACAGATAAAAAAAAAGTTTTTTTGCATGTATTTTTCAATTCTATGCTGGGTAAGTCTGAGGATATGGAACCAGAAGAGGCAACTGTATGTTCTTTACTTAAAGAATTGCTGAATTAATGTGCTCTAGCTCACGACTGTCTGCCAGGCAGAAATATAGGTGTTATGGTATTTCTATTTATAAATATGAACAGATTTTTTCTATTCCTTTAAGGCTATGTAGCCCAGAGGTAGAATATCAGTGCTTTAACAGAATCATGACTATTACAATAGAAAGGTATAGCAGCATAGGCAAACAAAGATTCTATAAATATCTTGGGGGGACAAGTGAGACTAGGAAAGAATATAGAGGTCATAAAAACATACCACAGTTCATTGGAGTCTGTCTTAGTTACTTTTTCTGTTACCACGATAAACAGTCTGATAAAAAAGCAACTTAAGGGAGAAAGGGTTTTTTTGTCCTCTGTTTCTTTAAATATAGGGTCTCATTGGACAGGCCTCCCTGGCCTGAAACTTAATATAGAGACCAAACTGGCCTTGAACTTGTAGAGACTAGCCTGCACGTGGCTGAAATTATAGGCATGCACCACCATATTGAACCTCAGAGAAAGGGTTTACTCTGGCTCACAGTTTAAGGTTGCAATCCATCATGTTGGGAAAGGCACAGCAGTAGGTGTAGGTGGCATTGCCAGGAGGCAGGGTGATGGTGCATTCTGTTCTTGAGCTGTCCCTTCACACTTACACGGTCTATGTCTCCCCATCCCAACTAACCTAATATAATCCTTCATGGGCATACCCAGAGGCCTGGCCCCAAGGATTGATTCTGTCAAATTGACAACACTGCTACCACGGAACCTATTTTAGGATGGACCACATCCTTGATGGTTTGTCCTTTCCCATTAGCAAGGGGACACCTCTCATCTCTCTTACACCTACGTCTTTTTCAGGGGTTTCTATGACTCACTCTTAATTGCTTCTACTCTCTCTATATCCTTCAAGGTCTTTGCTAAATCAAATTCTGCTTACTTCCGAGTTGACCCAAAGATTAATTACCCTCAATTTTTTTTTTCTGGCTACTTCATCTTCTTTATCTCCTCTCCTCTCAGGACTTCCCGATCTCATTTCTTAAGCAGAAAGTTGGCACTGCACTCCAGGATATAGGTCTCCAAAAGTAAGTGTGTATTTAGATCATCTCATGTGCCATTCATCAGCATTTGCTCAGGGCTAACAGAATTCAGTGACGGGATCCTACATCTCCTGAACCACTTGGAAAACGTAGTGTTAGACTTCTGGGCATTGCTTGTATTTTTCCAAAAGGTTTATGTGCAGTCAACAGTGGCTAGCCAATGTTGCGAGTACTACCTACACTGCTGGACATTGACTCTGGGGTTGAACCAGTTTTGGGACTCCTAATAGACCTATCAAGTAGAATATTAATGATACCCAGCGTTAAGAACAGGGCTAGCGAAGTGTTCAGAACACTCTCTAAAGGAGGAGACCAAGTACTGAGGACTGGCTGACTTTGAAAGCTACCAGAAGCCCCAGAGGGAGTGACATTTTCTGTCCTCTGAGAAAACGCTCAGCCGTCACCCCAGATAACCCTAGTGCATCTCAAAGGCATTAGGCTTCGACAGACTGCCAGATGGAAGCTCTGCCAATTAAAAAGCTCTGTGATGAGGGAGGGGAACTTGATCGGGGGAGGGGGAGGGAAATGGGAGGCGGTGGCGGGGAGGAGGCAGAAATCTTTAATAAATAAATAAATTAAAAAAAATAGCTCTGAACAGGAGTCTAGGCCAAGTTACTACACCCAGGACCATCGTCTTTACCCTCACAGTTCAAAGGTGATGCGCCGTAAGCAGGCATAAGCCAAAGTAAGATAGATCACCAGAAGCGAAACGAAAAGGAACCTCGGAGATGTTACGCGGAGCCTTCTCACTTTCCACCCTGTACGTGCTGGTACAGCAGTAGAGTCCAGCAGTCACGGCTCGGGGGCGGAGCTTGGGAGCCTCGGGGGCGGGACCTCCCGGTGGCGACGCGCTGACGTCACGGGCGTGGGTCGGCCCAGCGCGTCGTCGACCGGGCGCGGAGCGCGGCCGGTGGTTTGTGTGGCCGGTCGGCGTCCGCTCGCTCGGCTCTTCGCCCTCCGCCCCGACGAGGCGTCCGTGGCCAGGCTTCCGCAGTCATGCTGCGGTCGGCGCGGCTCGCGCAGCTCCTCTGAGTCCGGGAACGGCGGCGAGCACGGCGGGCTCGGGTCGCCATGCCTACCCGTGAGTGTGGGGCCGGGCCGGGCCGGGCCGGGCCGGGCGGGGAGCGCCTCCAGGAAGCGCCGGTTAGCCAGCCAGCCGGCCGGCCCCGAGTTAGTTTCGCTTCACTTTAGCGTCCCCTGGGCGGGGTGCGGGGGATCCCAGTGCGCACTCGGGGAAACTGAGGCGGAGCGTTAGGGGAACTGACGGCGGCCCGCGGTGACAGCGTGGTAACGGGGATGCGTGCGACCCGGGCAGCCCGAGCTAACCCCGGAGGCCCAGAGCGACTTTGGAGAGCATTATGGCCCTGAGGTCGAGGCCTGTGCTCTCTTTAGCGGGTCTGAGGGACCGATTGGAACCCTCCCCCAAGTGTGTCAACCTGATTACCCACTACGCTGACTCAAATGCAAGTTTGATTTGCTTCCTTAGCGTGGGACCCGGGCTCTGCTAATAGCAAGTGTCCTAGCTGTCCCCTAGGGATGCTGGGTTTGGAGATGACCAGGTAGTGGAGGCTTTGAGAGAGACACTGTACTACGAGGTACTACGGTGCTACCAGTGACCCAGATCCTCGCAGTGAGACTTTAAACCCAGTGGCCCACAGGAATTACGTGCAAACCGGGTGGCTGATCCCCTACCGAGAGGCAGCATGATGCTGGTGATGGATTTGAGATTCTTTGCAAGTAGGGCCCCTTGAAGTGTGCCCTGCTGCACAATCTTTACAGACTTGTGACTGTTTCTCTCGGAATTCCTAACTAGTTCTGTCTGAGTTGGTTTCTGTTAGATATACCGGGTACGTGATTTCTAGACAGTTTCAAAAGTCCAATTTTTTTTCTAGTGTTGGGGAAAAAAATCTTAATAATAGAATTATTTACTTCATAGTTGTGTCGAATCTTTGAGATCTTAATGTAAAGATCACTTTTACATTAACCCTCAAACACCAAGTGGGTTTTATTTTCACATGATTGTGCATTTCTTACTTTATTTTTCTGCTTGAGTGATTCAGCCTGGAGGAATACACTCTGCCTTCAAGTTCATGGCCGTTATTTTCAGTTTCTTATTTCTAATTTCATGTTCAGTTATTCAAATATTTGAAATTGGCACCGTAACAGTCTTTCTGAGAAAAGCAGAGAAGAGAAAGATAAACGAGTTGTCTCAAAAGATGAGACGTCATGGGGGATCGTCTGGGTAAAATGTCCATCGACATTCTGTAAAATTCTCAACCTTTAGTTATGTGTTAATGCTATGTAGTTTCCTAGAGAGGATGCTGGAAACTTGTAGTATTAGGATGCTTGATTTATTTACTCTGTCCAGTGTTTTGATGAACTCAGGTGTCAAATTGCATCCCATGAGTGGAAGATCAAGGGAAAGGTTTTAGTTATGTGTTAACGTTACGTAGTTTCCTAGAGAGGATGCTGAAAACTTGTAGTATCAGGATGCTTGATTTATTTACTTTGTCCAGTGAGTTTGATGAATTCAGGTGTCAGATTGCATCCTATCAAGGAAAATGTTTATGTATCGTTCATATTTTTGCTGTGCATCTCCTGTAATTGAGGAGAGACTGATGTGGATAAGGATACAAATCTGAAAGAGTAGCTCTTCTTTTTTTTTTTTCTCTCTTGATGCTCAGAGCCCTCAAGATGTCTGTGATAGTTTGGTGGGCAGGAGTCTAGAGTAGACTGATAACATACTAAGTTTATAATAAGCAGACACTTCAACACAATCAGTGTATGATGAATGCTTTTAGGGAAAAAATGAGGTCTCATAAAGGTTTTTTTTTTTTTTTTTTTAAAGATGTTAAGTGCCGGGGCTTATTTGCATGTTCAGCCAGTTGACTTTTAAGTGTTTTATGAAAAAGCAAATGCTTTTCTACAAAATTGAAGGGGTTGAAGAGGATCACTTTAGGATCTTGGGTTCTAGATTTCCGCAAGCAACTCATAGATAAATAATTCTGCTGGTATTTATTATTTACTCGCAATTGAAATGGCATTGATAGTAGAAGCCAGCTTCACATGCTGGAGCCATGCTGGCCAAGCAATGAATGTGGTTTAGTGAGCCAAGGACTCCTTGAGAAAGCAACTGGAAGGATGTTTGCCAGGAAGGTGCCAACACGAAACAGTTCTTGTTCTTGTCATTCTGTGTTTAGTCTGTTGTTGGCTTACTTTTCAAATTTAGATTTAATAGACTTTAATTTAAGATATTGATTAAATAGACCTAAATTAAATAGCTGTTAATTTTAAAGGGTTTAAGTTGGAAGGAACATTGAGGCTTCTTAGTTCTTTTGTTTTGTTTATTTTTGAAGATTGGGAGACTAAGACAGGTTTTTTTCTTAAATCATTATTTTATTTTACTTTTAGGCAAAGGCTCATTATGTAGCCCAGGCTAGCCTAGAACTTGTGATCCTCCTGCCACTGCTAAAGGGTTTTAGAAGTTTACTACCATGTGTGGGTTTTAGTGAATTTTGATGGCTTCCATGAGGTCATAAGTGGAGTAAAACCAGAACCTGAACACAGATCTGGCCTCCTTAGCCAGTGTCCACATTGAACACAGATAGTGTTTATTCCCTTAGCAAAATAAAGTTGAACAAACTTTTTAATTTGTTTGCTTCAGTTACATTAAGACACAAATGAAAACTTTATGAAAATTCTATGAAAATATCTGTAAGCTTAGAGAGATAATCGCATCATTTGCTTTGATTTAAGTCTTGCCGCAGGAATCTGTGAAGAAGGCTATGAATTCTGCCTGTGTGCTAAGTAGATGCTCTGTTGTAAAGGCATGGATTTACATTAGCAAATTGCTTATATGGAAGGTGCTTCCTAGTTTATCCACATCTCATGCATGAAAACAGGTCCAACAAAACATGCTCTTCTATATGAGAAATGGTTATGTATTAGCTGGGGGAATGCAGACACTGAACTGTTGTTGGCTATCAAACTGTGCTTTCAGTGTGACTAATGCTTCTCTCGGCATTTAGACATCAGCATTGTTATCTAGTTAGGATAGTTAGACTGTGGCAATATGGACATCTCCCTGTCCTTGGATAAGGCTAATTATATTTAACCGTTTTTCAGTGTCTTACAGAAGAAGTGCCGAATGAATCCTGAAGGATAGTTGATAGCTGAAGTAATTTTTCTTAGAAACACATTATGTGTTGTATTAACTTTTTGTCACTGTGACAGACTTGAGGAAGAAACAGTTGAGGAAAGATTTAATTTGTCTCTTGACTTCAGAGGTTTCAGTCCAAAGTCCACTGAATCCATTGCTGTGAGGCCTGTGAAAGTAGAGAAACAGCATGGCCAGCAAGCTTGGCAGAGGGAAGCTTCACGTGAAAGCTGCTCACCTCACAACAGCTAGGAAACAGACGTAGAGGAAGCATCCAGGGATGAGATGTACCCCTCAGAGGCCCACCCCACAGTACCTGCTTCTGCTTCTCAGTAATTCATTCAGTTGTGCCTTCATTGGTGGATTAATTTTATTATTTACTTTAGTACATTCATGTTCTGTTTGCCACCAGTCCACTGTAGGTGGCATCATTCCTTGGGCAGGGGATCCTGGCTTGATAAAATCAAGAAAGCTTTCTGAGCATAGCATGGCTTGATCACTCCCTGCTTTCTACACCCATATTCCCAAATATTGCTTATAAATGTTCTTTTATATTTAAAGCGGGATATGATATAGGTATAAATAATTTACATTGATATAAATCTTGGTTTACTGTTACTAATTTAAGGTCAATTTTGTTATATGCATATTTCTAATCTTGATTAAGGTATTGTGATTGTGTAGCTCATTTAAAAATATAATGTATAATTAGAAAATATAGGTTGTTAATGGATAATCATCAATAATAGTCAACCTTGTAGTCATGTTAGTTAGATTTTCTAGATATATAGAGATATATTTCAGTTAGATAGGCATTCTTCATATCTTTCAAAGACTACAGAATATGGCATTTTAAATGTTTTAATAACTTAGGGCTTTTCATGACAATGAGACACGTCTGCTTCTGGCAGCACCAATGTACTTCAAGAGGAAGATGGGCATCAAAGAGGCTCCTTAGCCATTTAGGCAAGAAAGTGCTCTTGTCTGGACTATTGCATAAACTGGTCATAAACAACCCACAGAAAGATGACTACAAAACTTGCCTAAAGGTGAGATGGTCCTTCGGGTTTCCTGATTCATAAAATAGTCTGCGAGACATTCTGCAGGACACAGCAGATAGTGACTGAACTGTCTTTGGAATTTCCTACTTCATGAAAAAGTCTGCTGGATACTATGGGCCTAAAGGCCAAAGATGGATGCCCCAATGGTACAAAAAAACTTTGGGTGACTGTCCAGACAGCGAGATGTCTCTGTCCTTTCTAGAGTTTTGGAAGTTGCTTACAATGTACTTCCTGTTTACTTAGGTAATATTATGTCCTTCTGGAGTCTCTGATGGAGTTGAAGAATGGATAGTTATAGTTTTCCTTTGTTATGATAAAAGATAAAATAGATATAAATATGGTAACTGTAATTCCTTGCTTGATAACTGTTTTGTTATATGTACTTTTACTATGTTAAAGTAAAAGCCTTTTTTTTTTTGTTTAAACAGAAAAAGGGGAAATGGTATAGGAGGATTTTCTGTTTGTGTGTTGCTTTTATTGGTTAAATAAAGAGACTGTCTTAGCCTTTTGATAGGGCAGCCCTTAGGTGGGCGGAGTAGACAGAACAGAATGCTGGGAAGAAGGGAATGTGGCAGATGCCATGCTTCTCCTGCCCAAGACGGACGCTGGTTAGACTCATGCCAGTAAGCCACAGTCAAGTGGCGATACACACTATTGGAAATGGCTTAGATCAGGATGTGAGAGTTGGCCAAGAAGAGGCTAGATATAATGGGCCAGGCAGTAGTTAAATTAATACAATTTTTTTTTTTGTAGTTATTTCGGGGTTAAGCTCACCAGATCTGCTCGCCTCCACCCTGGACAAAAAACAAGCCTGCCTGCAGCTCATCCTACTACAGCATACAATGTATCAGTCACTTTAGACTC